ATATTATATACATACTATATGTGAATAGTCATGCCTGTATATAATTTATAAATAAAAATAAAAATATTCATGGGATCGGGTTTACATTTTTTATTGATAGGGTTCTTGATTAAAAAGGTTTGGGAACTACTGGTCTAAAGAAGAGGGACCAGTAAGCCAATGGTCAAGGTCTAATGCAGAGAGAGCTTGACTGAAGCACAAATGATAAGCATGTTGCTGTGCAGGCAAGGCTTCCCAGAGCAGGTGACAGGTGGAGCTGCTAACATGTGTTTGGTGGGGGACGAGGGGAAAAGGAAGAATGTTTCAGGCAGGCTACACAACACATGCAAAGGCAAGGTGGCCTGTGCATGTGAGTGCATTTGGGAAACTAAAATAATTTGGTCCATCTTAAAATGTCAGGTATGTGTGGGAACTGCAGGAAGTGAGGCTGGGAGGCTTCCGCAGAGTCAGTTGTGATGGTCATGGAGTAGGAAGCTCATTCTGATGGTGAAGGCTGGTGCTGAAGGATGCTAGCAGGGGAGGTGGGACCAGGGAGCACGGTTCCCAACTTGACCCTCCAGGGCAGTCTCTTTTGACACTTGAGTCCTAGAGGAGAATATTGTAATAGTGGGAGCTGGTGAAATTTCAGAAAGTAGTACAAAAAAAAAAGGAAAAGGTGCTACTGGCCTTTAAAGAGAGAGAAAATCTTTGACACTGGGCATTGCTGGGTAAGGATTAATAATCCCTAAGGACACATCTCTGGGCAAAAAGGCTGTGCAGTATTTTTCAAGTGTTAGTGCCTTAGTGATTCCACTATAGCCAACAGCAACAAGAGTTATCACCTGAGGGAGCCAAAGCTGCAAAGGAGGGAAATGATAGACACCAGAGTAGCCAAGAGGACTAGAACAGGACGGAGTGTCCACTGGGCCACACTGGCAGGCTCTGAGAACCAATTCAGGAGGACCCTGCGAAGCATCCAATGTTCCCTCATGTGAGGAGACATTGTGCCTGTCCTATTCAAATTGTATCCCCTGTATCTTGCATGATGAATCTGGAGGGCAGGGTTGTACAAATCCCAAACTCATTGTCTGTGTCATTGCCTATATAAATAACTCCTGGAGTCGTATACCAGAAGCCTTGGGTAGATGTCCAGCCAAGGTACGTTAAAGGAACTGATGAAATACTGGTGGTGTGGCTCTTCCTATGCCCTTATTTAAACCTGAGGCTGGACAGCCATATCCCATCGGATCTGGGTTTGAAGCAAGCATCCAGGTGGCAGTGTGGCACAGTGCAGTAGGGGTAGACCCGTGACACTCCACTAGAACTGTAGTCCTCCACTGGGTATTTCATTCATTTAGTTGTGAAGAAATCCTGCAAGGAACTGGAAATGCGATGCCGTAACTATGTATATAGCCAGTAAGGAAGAAGCAACCAGGTGGGGAACTAAGGGGTAGCACCCATGAGGACTGGTCACTGGCAGCATTGGACCAGAGAAAGCCTGCTCCTCATTCTAAGGCCATCCCTTAATTCTAGACAGAATGAGACTGCAGACTAAAGTGAGAATTAATCATCAAAGAGCAGATAAAGCTGATTCATTTCTGAGCTGGGATAAAATCAATACCCAGAACTTAAGACTTGGTTGCATAAATATTAAACAAGAAAATCTGGATAAGACATCGATTGTCCTCCTCGGAAGAAGGTGGGGCCTAAAGAAAACATCCCATCGAGGGAAAGGTTGCTGTTGGCAGAAGTAGCAGTCTGGGTTTCAAGAGCTGGAGAGTGTCAGACCTTCTTATAAATGGCCGTGGACTAGCATGAGCTGAAGACCTGGGTTCATGATCTGCTCAGTGATGGTGGTAAAAGGAATACCCCGACCACCTAAGATCCTGTTTCCATCCAGAAAACCTGAAAGGTCCCTTAAGTGGGACCTGCAGAATGTCCTAGAAAACCTGAGAAGGCAACATGGAGAGTTAAATTCAAAATAGAATCCAATCTTCATACACACCCTTTTGTAATATTAACAGATGTTCATGTGGGGCACAGGAAGTACATGGTTTTGATTATTGGTGTATTCCTAGATTAACAGAATCCTGTATGAACGCCAGATAACTGCACGAAGCAGAACCCTTGGGTAGCTTCAATTGGCTCCATTAGACCAGTGGATTTACACCTTCCTGGCAGCTAGAGTTTGAGTAAGGGCCATGTTGGACTTGGGGAAACTGCTGTTGGACACCAAATCATTTGTGATGCTAAGCACCAAGCTACAGGGCTACTGTGGGTTTATACTTTGTCCAGGCCAACACACTGGGAGGCATAGTGTGCTGGAGAGAGGCGGATGGTTTCCAAGGGTCTTACACTCAGGGAATGTGTCTCGTTCACAGCCACTGTCATACCCTTCTGACTCCTCAGTTCTCTCCCTGTCCCTTTCTTTGAAGTAATTTTACTACTCAAATCAGGCAAATGTTTTTTGTAAGCACAGAGGTCTATCAGCCATCACCTTCTCTTGGACATAATAGGCTGAAGTGTTTGCTCTGTTTTTATAGCTTAGGGTTGACCTTATCTGAGGGGACGGCCTTGACACAAACACTTTCAGTACATGATGGTCAGCGTGCCACCGTGAAGCAACTTTTTGAAGTTTGCCTCTGTTACTATGTTTTTGTCCTTTTATTGTTGATTGAGGCCTTGTTGAGTGCACTCTCAATACAGACAGGATACTGACTGTGTGTCCCTACGGAGAACTCACTCTAGGAGTTTGGCCTCAGTTTACCAGATCCTCACCACATCTACAAAATGAGGGGGTCTGATGGCCAGAGGATCTTTCGGATCTAAGAAACCATGATTATGTACCCAATATAAAGACCAGAAATGCCTCTATGATGTACAGATTTAAAAAATATATTACCAGAATGTCACATAAGCAGAGCTTCAGTTCACATATGAAGAATTAATAGAGTGGTTATTTGCATGCAAAATAAACAGCCTTTACAAAATATTAGTAATTGCTTGAAGTAAAGAAAAAATAATCTTACAATTCAAAATCTTGATTCAATGTATAAGTTACTTTTGGCTCATTTATCATAAAAATCTATTTATTAACTTTGACCTACCAAGGCTTTATTTTAGGAATACTGAAACTGATAGCAGGTAGTGGAGACTTAGGCATTAGTGAAACGCAGTCCCCTTACTTCCTTAATCTTTCCCCTGCATGTTTCTGGCACTTTCCATCTCTGAGCTCTCTTGCCTGAACTAGCTCTGTTCCTCTCCATGCTTTCTCTGGAGTTGATTCCCCATTGACAGTTTTTCCTCCAGAGAACAAAGCTGCTGCTTCAAAGCTCTCTGTGCTTCCTAGTCTGCACAAGGGGTTGCCTAACACCCATCTCTAGGTGGGAGCTCTGTGGGCACCTGTTTGCTGCAGCTTTTTACATTGCCTTTCCCTGTCCTGTTACTCAGTTTGGTGTGTGTCTGCCAGATATTCTGCCTGCTGTCAGTGTAAGGCCTTCCCAGACGGGGCAGCTGAATGCACTGCACAGCTGCCAAAATTCTAATTCAAGATCTAGAATTCTAACTCCTGCTCTTTAGACCCTTGTTTGGCCCTGGCTCCAGTCTCCTGCCACCCGGGTCCTTGGCTCATTATCAGGCCCACCCAGGCCCTGCCCCCACCCGAAAGTGGGCCCAGGAAACCATTCTTGGCACCAAACTGAACTTCAACAACGCAACTGCCCCAACCTCACCCGACTCTCAACTCAGCACAATTTGTCACCTTGTGAGCTGGAAGTCAGAAGACATGAGCAAGAAGAGGAAATGTCACGGTGAGGGAACTCATCACGCCCAATCATTGAGACTGTAAAACTTTGCTGTGCCTTTACTCCAATAAACAAATGAAAAGCCTTTGTAATCCTATTATTAGAAATAACACTACAGATGAATACAGTTTATGGAGAGGGGAATACTATTTGTCTGTGTATCTGCACCAGAGGATAAGTCAAATGTGTCTAATGGAAAAATGCTAACTTCGATAAACCTGCATTAATTTAAAAAGGCACTGTTGGGTCCTAAACTCGGATAATGTCGTGTTCCTCGGGCACTTCGAGAGATGCTACAGTAGAACACACACTTAGGTAAAAATATGAGTGCAACTGGGATGGGGGTGGGGACTATGAAGAAACTGATTCTTGAGAAAATGCTAGTTTTCAGGGGAGCTACCAAATTCAACTGAAGTGGTCAACGTTATGGTTGGAATGCTCACAGCACGGTGCAATCTTGATTGACTAAAGAATCCCTTCCCTTTTAAATGAACAGTAAATCTGTCCCTTGCCTCTGTACCCATTCCTTTTGGCTTTAACCAATGCACTGTCCTTTCTGCTCTGACAGTTTACTCCCAGGGAGGCAGATGGGTTAATTCCCAGATCTGAGATGGGGCAGTGGGGGGCCGTAATCTGGGGAAATAAAATCATTTTAGTTTTTGTTGTCGCAAAAGGAGCAGGGACTACAACAAACGTGGTACACATGTAAAACACAGGCAAATGCACTTGACAATCAAGCTCTCTATTTTGAAATTTAAATAAAGCTAAGATTTTCTTCTGGTCTAGTGGGAAACTTCATTAAAATCAATTAGTGAGTACAAACCTCCAGAGAATATGGACTTTTCTTTTAAGGTTTAGAGAGTAAGGTGCACACAATTACCTTTCTTGGGTCCCCTGTGAATGTCAGTGTCACCCCTAGACAGGTGGCCAAATGCAAACAAATGTCTCTGAGAGGGGACTGGCTAACTCCCCGAGTGCCCAAGGCTGGATGCTTGTGTAATTAATGAATGTGTATACAGCAAGAATGTAATATACATAACCAAGGAGGCTCCAAACAGCTTGCACGTATCACCTACTGCAGAGCAGGCCAGGGGAAATAAAAGTTGGTGGCAGGCGCTCCCAGGTGAGGCCTGGGTCCAGGAGCTGAGGTCGGGGCCGCACAGCTGTTGCCGCGCGCCCGGGTCCCTCCTCCCAGCTGCGGCGGCCTCACCCCCTCCCCCGCCGCTCCCAGCGCCGCCGCCGCCGCCGCCGCCGCCTCCCCTCAGCCTCCCGGTCTCTCCTCGCTCTCCTTCCATCGCTCTCGCCCCCTCTCCCTCCGTCCCGTCCTCTCGGCTCCCCTCACCCCGCCTCTCTCCCCCTCCCCCAGCCCCTCCTCTCCTCACCCCACCCTGCCGCCCTCCCTCGCTCCCTCCGCCCGCCCGTCCGGCGCTCGCAGAGTCGACACCAGGGGGGCTCTCGATGTAGCACCATGACAGGCATCGCCGCCGCCTCCTTCTTCTCCAATACCTGCCGCTTCGGGGGCTGCGGACTCCACTTCCCCACCCTGGCCGACCTCATCGAGCACATCGAGGACAACCACATCGGTAAATGGCCCGGGGGTGCCCGCTGCGAGGAAACTCCTGCCCAGGAGAACGCCAGAATGGCTAGGGGTGGCCGGGAGGGAGGCGGGCGGCGGCGGGGCGGGGAGGGTGTGTGCGAGCCGGGGGCGTGGGGGCGGCGGGATGCGGAGGCGCGAGGTGCCTGGGGGGCGGGGAGCGGGGTGGGGGTGGGGCAGGGCGCCCCGAGGTGCCGCGGGCGGGCCGGCGGGCTGGGGGATTCCGAGGGGCGTGCGCGCCGGCTGCGAAGTGGTGGAAGGGGGGCTGCGCCGCAGCGAGAGGAAGGACCCGGCGGCGCGGAGATGCGGCGGCGGGGCCGGGCGGCGGCGGCGGCGGGGCCGAGCGGGCTCTGGGCAGGGACGTGGAGTTAGTTGGCCGGGTGGTCGGGGCGGCCTGAGGCGCCGGGGGATGCGGGGGGTGGGCGCTGCACGCCGCCCGCCGCTTCCGCCCGGGCTCTAGCTGTCAGGGCTCGGCGGCGGCTGCAGCGGCTGGGAGGTGGGAGCGGGGGGGGGGGGGCGGCGGGGGTGGCTCCACCGCGGCAGCCATTCCGCTTCCTCCTCCCGCCGCCGCCGCCACTGCGTCCTGTCAGCGCCGGTTGCTAGGTGTGGTGCGTTGGGAGGGGGCCGGAGCTGGCGGCAGCCGGTTGAGGACCCGGTGCTCGGCTCCTCTCCTGGCGGAGTCGGGGACGCTGGCCCAGGGGACCCTGGGCGCCGGCCCCTGCCCCGGCCTGGCGTGGACGCCCGGGCGCTGCGGGCTGAGGTCCCGAGTGCGCCGCGGGCCGCGCCCAGCACCCCAGGGCCGGGCTGCCCAGGAGGCCCATGCGGCTGCGTCCGCTGGCGAGCTGTCCCCCGGGGCCCGCAGCCGGGCATTTAAATGCTCCCGGGCTCTGCGATTTGCCTTTCAAATGGTGCTAGGCCCGAGTTGCGCCGGCTGCGCCCGGATCGGCTGCGGCGGCCTGCGCAGTGCCCCGGGCGTGGGGACCGCTGGGGAGGGGGCGCCTCGCTGGGCGGCTGCTATCCCTTCCTGCCTAGAACCCGGGGCCTTTCAACAAGTCCTTTAATTCGTCGAAGACCTTGCACACATTTACACTTTCCTATCTTGAGCTCCTGCGAGAGGTGGTGGGTTGGGTTCATCTGGCTCTGGTGACCCAGCCACCTGCGGAAGGTGTGGCCGGCACCGAGGAATTGCCCTGTGCAGGTTGGAAGGTGAAGATGATGTCCCAACGGGGCTGTCTAATGCAGAGAACCTGTAAAATGCCCCTGAAAGTCATTTCCAAATGAATGGTATGGATTCAGCCATGTGGATGCCGCTCACGTTTCTCCAAAGTTGAACGAATAAATCACCACTGCTGTGTATTTATGCACTAATAACATGAGGCCGAGTCTTATGCTCCTTTGCTTAGTGGAATGCTTTCTCTTCGCACACAGTGGGTGCTTGTTAAGCGTTGAATGCCTCTTTAGAATGGGATGTGATGGAGCATCCGGAATGAGGAAACAAATCATTGAAAATGTCTACCGAATGCCTTTCAAAAGACAATCCTGATGAGTAATTGACCAGGTTTTGAAACATACAATATTTTAAAACATCCGTTTGATAGCTTCTGCCATCTCCCCTGATAAAGGAGTGACAGAAGAGCTAGGCAAGTTTTGGCTGTTTTAAAAACAGGAGTTTGATGGAGTTAACAAATTTGCTGATTCATTTCATGAATGAATAGTCATAACTGAAGGTGCTTAAAGGATAAATCAGATTTTTCATGATAGGCAGTTTACAATAATAGTAAAACACCAGTAATTCGAGGTTCCAGTACAAATTTTGTTAGCTCGAGTTCTTTTCCTTACATTCAATAACAGACAGAAACCACTAAATATAAACAAATAAGTAAATATATACTATATAAATAATGTTTTCTGACCTAAGGAAGACTGTCATTGCATACACATTCACTCTGGCTAACAGTTATTTCAGAGTAAACTAATTAACGTAAGATTTTTTTCCACATTGCCTGCCTATTTGACTAGCTGGTTGAGAGAAAATATAAATTATATTTATTAAAATGTGTTACAGACAGATCTCCTTTTTGAGGGTTTACTGTGTAATCAATTAGATGATTTAAAACTAATTGCTGGTGAATGGCAAAAGCCTTTTAAATTTGCAGAAATTGTCTTTAGTATTATGCAAACATTTTTTAGAGGTTTAAGGATTCCATAAATTTTCTTAAACTCAATTTTTAAGTAATGATCACCCCCAAAGGGCTAGTGTTTTTCTCTTACTGAAAATATTGAAAAGTTAAGTTTATAACAATAGCCAAGACTTAGGCAAACTGTGTAGCAAGGGTAATAATTACTATAGTTTGGAATTAGTTTGAAACTGCCAAACTTTATAAAAGTAAAAATTAAAGTGAACAAACAGTTGAAATTACCAGGGTGAAGAGACCATCTTAAACTATTCTGGGGCTGAGGAGAGGCCCCTTACTTTCAAACACCAGCTCCATTTGCAGAAAGAAATAAGAATAAAAATAACTTGATTGAAGAGTAAAAAAACCTGATTAATAGGCAATACCATATAATACACTTTTGATGAAGAGACATGACTGGAAATATATCAGACAAAGCATTTAGTGAAAGTCCTATTGTTCAAAGTGGTGCTTATTGTGTGTGGTTCAGTCTATACATTTTTGGAGACAGTTAAGATAGTTGTTTTTAATGACTGGCTTACTGATTTCATGTCCATGTTGTCCAGTGGCCACAGTAGAAAGAGGCGTGAAAAGATGACTAAGAGATACATGTTAATAATTGTCTCTCATTTTTTTTCAAGAAGCTTATTTATTTAGCATCATAAGGGTATTTAGAGATATGCTTAGGTGATGTTCCCATTTTGGGGACTTTTGTGAGTTATTACCTTTTGACCACTAGTCAAAATCCTTAAGTAGTAATGAAATGAAAGTTTATGGGGTTATGGAGTGTTTCTTGCTTGACAGATTTTTCAAGGCCTTTTTAAGGGGCACAAGGCCCAAAGTTTTCATTAAAACTGGGTTGTTCAGTACAGGTTAATTAAGTGCATTAAGTTGACTGTAGCTGTCTCTATTATGCCCATGTGCACTTAGCTCTTATTTTTAATTATTTGTTTTGTATCCATAAGGAACAGGGATTTGGGCCTGAAGGGAGCAGGGAAGTGTGATTTTCTCCATCCGCCATGTTAGCCATCTTCCTTTTGGACGAGTACTGCACCTGTGTTCCTGTTTGCTTCCTTCAGTGTCATCGCTGGTCTAGTGCTGGAGCACCTGTCTTGGTTACAGCCTGTGTATCCAGCTAAAACCTGCCCCCAACTGAAATTGCCTAGAAATCCCACAGCCCTGTAACTGATATGTTTCTCCATCAGCCTTGCTGTCAGTTTAGTCATAGCCTAGCTGTTTTCCAGGGAAGGGAAAAGCTGATCAAGATTTGTTTGCTTCTTACCTGTGAGTAGACACTTCAGTGTGTAAAAAACACTCTTGACATGCACATTCTAGATAGGTAGAGTTAAACTGGTAACTAGGCATCATAGAAACTGCAAGAGCACTAAATTTAGCCCTGAAGGTCATGTCTCAGGCTCATGAAATGTCTGCTCCTGCCTCCATCCAGTGCATCCCTGTACTGTGAAATCTTTGGGCCTCAGAGAGACGACTGGTTAATCATTCTTACCAGATCTGGTACGTTTGTAAAAGTGCCTACGTATTTTGAATTTACTTGTGTAATAATACATATCAAGCACCGATATTGTAGTAGGCACTATTTTAGGCATGTGGTATTTTTTGGTGAGCAAACCAAATGTTGTAGTGGTGGCAGATAGACAATAAACAGTCAACATAAGAAGTGAGTTATATAATATGTTGGAAGGTAGTATGAAAAAGGGAAAGATTAGAGCAGGCTAAGGCGGATTGGGAGGAGGAAGTATTGGAAAGTTTCATTGGACAATTAGTAAGTATAGGCCCCGCTGAGAAGCTGATAGATAGGTGAGCAAAAACCTCCACAGTAGTGAAGGAGTTAGCCATGAGGATTAAAGGGAACATCAAGTTAAAAAGCAGAGGGAACAGACGGTGCAAAGGCTCTGAGGCAGGCCACACTTCTTAAACTGAAACCCAGAATCTGATCCAATTCAGTTGTTCCTGTGATGGTACTAAACTAGCAGGTCATTTGGGATTTTGCCCAGATATTAGGAGCCTCAGCTGTGCCACGCTGTTGACTCAGGGTTTCCTGTGGGGACCCCGTTAGGAGATGGAATATTACTGATAATTGTGGATTGCAGTAGCTATGACTGGGCAGTTATTAACCCTGAATGTCAGCAGGTTTCTTGTGAGTCTGTACTTGTTAGTTTCTTCATCCCTGAAACCCAGACAGTAAATCCATGCTGTTTCATTTCATAGGGTAGGCTTCAAAACCATCTAACTGATAAAGGTCAAAGTCCCTGGAAAGCAAAATAAGGTAGTTAACTATCAATAATGTAGAATTTGGCTTCAGTGATTGTTGAGTAAACATTTGCATTTTCTTCTCAGAGAAGCACCACAGTATACTAAATAGGTGGGTGTATGGTATGTACTGGGCCCTATTATCTCTACTTAATAGGTGAACAGACTGAGGCACAGAAAGTTTCCCTGCCTAAGTTTCAATGGCTGGTAAGAGTGAGATGGAATTTGAATTTCAGACAGATTATCAGAGCTGAGCCCGGGCCACGTTGCCAAATAGGTGGAGAGCTAGACAGTACCATCTCTACTCCCTGTCCAGACATAGTGGATCTGTGTTTCCTCCTTCCGAAAGTAACAGAACTCTGCAGACGAGAGTCCTCTGAGAGGCAACATAGTAAACCCAGCTTGTTTGGGGTCAAGTGTTACCTCTGCCACTCGGTAGCTGCTTGACCTCGGACAAATGGCTTAACTACACTGTGCCTCAGTTTCCGGAGCATAATAACAGCACCCCGTGGCGTGGCTGGTGAGAATGAAGCGAGCTAATAAG